ACGACTATTTAATGCCTGAGTGGTGAAAACATGTTACCCACTCTGCTGCTAACCTTGAGTTCAGAGGTTTGAATGTCCCCCAAAAATCCCTCAGAAGAACTACTTCCCAAAATTCCTTAACAAGGAATGTGGCTTACAATAAATACATGGCCAAAGGTGTTAGTGTTTTAGAAAGAACTTAAGAGTTCTTTACAGGAGGGAATTCTTAAAAGGTTTAATGTTAAAGAAATATTTGAAATGCTAGTGTTAAAATTCACTGATCTTGTTAACATTAACCTGCTGACTGAACCTGGGAACTGGGGATCTGTATGTGAATGTATTGGTGCCTCAGACAAACGTGTTAACTTATGTTAAAAAAAATCTAAGTAAATTTCTGTTTTTGTACTATTTATGAATTAAAAATCTTCACAAATAAATTTTGATTCTAAAAAAAATAATCCTTCTTTCATAAAGTATAAATCAAGTCACATTACATAACAGAGCAAATTTAGCTAACTTGTGATTAATGTGCACATTGGAGCACTACTTTCCCTATCTTAATATCCCATTATTTGCTTGATCTTTTATTCCTATGTACTGGACATTTGGGAGGTCTGTTGTGTGCAGTAGACTAAATTAGCAAAATCAGCAGTTTGAGTCCACCAGACTGCTCCAGGGCAGAAAGAACAGAGAATCCACTTCAACAGATTTGCAACCTTCTGCTATGAGCCAGACACACTCTTACTCATGACTCTTAGATGCATAAATACAAACATGTATACATAAAATTGTCTCTTAAATACATAGATGTTACAACATAGATGTTGGTGGCAATTTACACTGAGTAGGAGGCACAGTGGTTAAGTGCGTTGGCTCCTAATCCTCGATTGTACCTGAAATCCATAATGCCCTTGAGGGGAAGATGAGGCAATCTGCACTGACAAAGGCTTACAACCTTGGAAACCCTAAGAGCACTTCTACCCTGATCTATAGGGACACTGTGAGTTTAAATCCACCCCACTGCAATGGTTTGGTTTACTGAGCTTTGGGGAGAAATAGAAACTGCAGTTTTAACACTTTGCTGTTAAGTGATGCTATTTCCACACAAGGGAAATAATATTATTTCCAGCCCAAAGAAAATAATCTTTTTCTCAGTGGCACAGTCCGTAAAGAGTTGCGCTGGTTACCCAAAGGTGGAGCCTCTCGGTGGGTTCAAATCCACCAGCTGCTGCACTTAATCTCATTCCATGTGATTTACAGCTTCTTGAACCCGCCGGAGGCTCAGCTATGGGTCAGTTCCGACTCCACCGAGCTTTAGTTTGTGTTTCCCTCCTTCTCCAGCTGACCTCGGTCTGGGAACACGTGGCCCACTTCCCGCAGGCGTGGCCCGAAGCCTCCGGGGATTGGTTTGTGTGAACGCCAAGGGTAGAACGGCCTTCAGCCGGTAGCGAGCGGTGATAGGCTGCTGGGGGGCCCACCCTCCCTCCCTGATTGGACCCGGACCCTCCCTCCCTGATTGGACCCGGGCAGTGAAGCCTGGGATTGGGGTGACTCGGTGGCGTTCACTGAGCAGAGATGGCGACGGCTGCTGGGCGCCTGGGGTCGTGCATGGTCAGGTGGAAGCTGCGGCCGCTCTTGCCGCCGCTTGCCGGCTTCATGCCGCGGCGAGCCCACTCGCTGTTGCCCGTGGATGATGCCATCAACGGGCTGAGCGAAGAACAGAAACAGGTAGGAAAATGGGCAGTCGCCCCTCCAGCAACGAGGCCTCCCGCGCAGGCCCCCGTCAGCCCTGTTGACCGCCGCGCGCACTTCTGCTCAGCGTCCTCTCAGCCACGGCTGAGGTCAGTGGAATTCCGGGGTCGAGGACAAGACACTGGACTTCACCCTTTGGGCTCAGACCTCTGGAGGAAAGATTTGAGGCAGCGAGGCAGCAAGGCAGGGTTGCATCTGATGAGATGAGAGAGGAAAGCTGTGAAGCTGACGGTGGTGTGTGCATTGGCTGGAGCACTCCCCAGGTGGGGCACGAATTACTGCCGGTCCATTCCGACTCCGACTCCGCAGTGACTCCACGTGGGCGGGCTAGAAAGGCCCAGGAGGGCTTTCAAGACCTTGACTTTTCAGGAATGGGTTCCTGCTGAGTTCGAGCGAGTTAATACTTGGCGCACTTAACCCATTTGTGGCATCCAGGAACTCCTGTTTGTGACAGAAGGGCTTTCCGTCTTTATAAAGCTACTTGCAACTGGGCCATTAGCTAAGGCTTAGTTTCTGAAAGATGACCTTTGTCATAGCTGTTTAACAGCTGATGAAATTATATAACCTGCTAATTACTCCTTAGCCAGTTGTATCAAACCACAAACGAGAAATTGAAATATGTGCTTAAAAATGTGCTCTCTGGAGAACTAAATGGATTTCCCTTGTTATTAGGTGCTGTCAAGTTGAGTACGACTCATAGCGACCTTATAAACAACAGATCTGAACCCTGCCCTATCCTGTGCCCTCCTCAGTCTCTGGCACTCTTGTTGCAGTGACTGGCAGTCCACCTGGTTGAGGGTCTTCCTCTCCTTTTGACTTGTGACTCACAGTGAACCTATGAGCAACAGATAAGAACCTTGCCCTATGGGATTCTACTATGGCTCTAGATAAGAATCCCCAAACTAAAACTATTGCTCTCAAATCTGTTCCAAATTACACTGACCCTTCAGGGATGGAGTGGAACTGTCTCATAGAATTTCCAAGGCTGAAATCATTATTTTTGAGTGAAGGTTTAGAAATCATCTTGATTTTTTTCATACAATCATTCATAGACATTTTGTTTTATAACATTAACTGCCAGTGATTAATGTAATTAATGACAATGTTTGATAAACTCCATACTGTGATGCCTTTCCCTGCACCCAGTGTGTCTTTTCATTAATTTTCATTCCTCTTGTCTATTCATTACTTGTTGATCCCCTCTCCCACCTTTTCATTCCTGGAAACTATCCAAGAATGCTTCTGTCTTTCCCTAGCTTTTCCACCTCCAACCATGAAATAATTTTTAACAAATAGTACATAATACCATATATAATGTTAAACACTATCCCTAACTGTAAACACTACCCTAACCCTAACTGTAACCCTAACACTAAAGCTAAAGTAACCCTAACCTTTACCCTAAACCTCAGCCTCAACCTCACTCTAACCCTAACCTTACTCCTAACCCTAACCCTCCCCCTAACTCTAAACCTCATGCTAAACCTCACCTTCACCTTCACCCTAACTCTAACCCTGGCAACAACTTAGTCATAGTATATGCGTTGTTTGAGGCCTTTCCCTAGCTTTTTATAGTTGTGGTTTTATACCATAATTGTCTTTTTGAGGCTGATTTATGTCATAATTCAGCATAATTTGTTCTAGATTCATCCATGTTGTGTAGTTTTTCGTGAATTCTTGATCATTACTCAGTGTTACATAATACCATAGTTTCTTTAGCTATCATCAGTTGAGGGGTATTTGGGTTGTTTCCAACTCTTTGCTATTGTGGATATGTATGTGTTAGTTTGTGTCACAGCCCTTATTTCTTTGGAATATATACCTACTAGTGAGTTTGCTTGATCAAATGGTGTTTCTGTTCTCAACACTTTCTAAGGAAGCACCAAACTGTTTTCCATAGTGACTGCACCATTTTATATTGTCACTAGCAGTGTATATGAGGCCTCAATTTTTCCATCCCCTCTCCAGCATTTGTTGTTTGCCGTCTTGTTAGACTTTGCTGTTGTTACCAGTACGAAGTGATTATTTCATTCTTGTTTTGTTTTGCATCTCTCTAATAGCAAATGGAGATAAGAGAGAGAACTCTGGTGGCGTAAAGGTTAAGGAGCTATGCTGCCAACCCAATGATATATAGTTCGAATCCACCAGCAGCTCTGTGGGAGAAAGATGTGCAGTCTTCTCCTGTGTGATTTACTGCCTCTGACAACCCACTAGAAGGTCAGCTATGAGTTGGTTCTGACTCAGTGGTACCAAACGACAACAATAATATCTAATGAGCACTTTCTTCTGCAGTACATATACTAAAATGGAAACAATACAGAGAACATTAGCATGGCCCCTGTGCAAGGATGACACTTAAATTCATGAAGTATTCCATGTTTCAACACTTCATTTCACATGTTGTTGTTGTCATGTGCCGGCGAGTCACTTGCGACTCATAGCGACCCTATTACAACAGCCCTAAACTCTGCTCTATCCTGTGCCAATCGCACTGCCTCTGACACTCCCATCCCGATTACCCCAGTCACTGAATCATTTCACATACTTTGAGCATATTGTTAGGAGAGGCTACTATACTTGCTGCTTTATTATTTGTCCTTATTATTATAGCAATTGTCTGTCAGTTTGCTGTACTAGGGTGACTTGTGGGTTGCTATAATACTGGAAGCAATGCCCTGGTATGTCATATGCCAGCAGGTCACTCATGGTGGACAGGTTTCAGTAGAGCTCCAGATTAAGACAGATTGGAAAGCAGGATTGACTATCAACTTATGAAATAACAGGCCTCGGAAAATCCTATGAACAATAGAGGAGCACAGATTGTGTTTGTTGTAGAGCACAGATTGGACAGAGTAACCACAGCATTGGGCTCAGGTATGTCAGAAATGATGAAGATGGCACAGGATAGGATAGATATAGGTGTGTTGTTCATAGGGTCACTCAAGTCATTCTTGACTCGATGGTACCTAATAACAGTAGCTCATGAGAGAGCTCTGATAGCCTAGTGATGATAAGAAGCTATACTGCTTGTTTGAGGACACTTGGTTCGAATCCACCAGCTGTTCTGAAGGGAGACAGAAGAGTAACCTCCTCCTGTGTGATTTTTCTGCCTCTGAAAACATGCTGGAGGTTCAGCTATGAGTCAGTTCTCACTTGACAGCACATAACAACAGTAGCTAATGATCTGAGCATTTCTTCTTTTTTTTTTCCTAGCAAAGCAAGTGAAAAAGATATATTAAGGCAAGAAGACACAGGCATAGTTGGTCAAAGGTAGGCCATGCAAAAGAGTTAAAGTGAAAAAGAAGGAAAAGAGGAAGAAGAGGAAAGGCCCAGAAAGACAGAGGTGAAGCCAAGTCCTATGGCAAGCTGTCCATAGAAAAGCAGAGAGAAAAAAAGCAAGCATTTGTTTCTTCTTGTGTTTGTTGGCCAAAACGGAAGTCTTTATGGAGGCAAACTGGTGCATCTTTCTTCCTTACAGTAACTGAGGGTTTGGACCTCTGACCTTTCCATTAGTAACATATCACTTTAACCACTGTATCATTACAGCTCCTCCAAAGGTTGGTAGGAATTGTATGTCCTAGTAGGAAATAATATCTGTAGATATAATTTCTTTTGATTCCCTCAGTCCAAAAGAGTTCACTGTTCAGTTTTTTTGCCAAGTGTAGTTGCCATGCTATCTCTGTAATCTCTGTTACCCTGGTGGCACATTGGTTAAACACAGCTGCTAACCAAAAGTTTGAGGGTCCCTACTGTGTTCTGCAATGTCACTAGGAGTTGTCATCAGAACCGCACTAAAGCAGTGAGCTTAATTTTGGGTTTGTTTTTATTTTGTGTAATTATCAAAAGACCTGGGGCAGAAAAAAAAAGTAGCGGAACAAATGAGAGAGGTGAGAAAGGTGTTGAAGAAGTCAAGAAGGAACAACCTGTCAGCTCATGCAGAGCCTCTGAGGCTTGGGTAAGGACTGAGCTGTGTTTCATCCAAGGTACAAGGGAAACATTGAATTATTTTATGTAAGGAAGGGAGTGAAGACAGTCTCCAAGGAGGTATAAACTGGTGTGGTCTCTAATTTTCATTCTGTGGTTTAATAAAGTTGTTTATTATCTGGAAGACAATTTTCCTAAGTATATCCTCAATACTGGAAAACTATCTTGAGTAGCAATATCTTGGTTTTACTCTCTCCCTCTAGCTTCGTCACAACATGAGTAAGTTCTTTCAGGAGCATTTGGCTCCCAAAGCCCAGGAGATTGATCAGTGCAATGAATTCAAGAACCTTCGAGTAAGTTGTAAGACCCAAGCCTTGGGGGATGGGGGTGGTCAGGGGAGGACTTGCGGGGCGGTCTGTGGGAACTGGGCTGGCTGGGAATTGTACTGCAGTGTGAATGACTCACCTCCCTAAGAATGTAGCTTCACTCTCTGCAACATTTGAGTCTCATTGTTCAGACACCTGTGACTGACTGCTTTCTCATAACTCCATTCTGTTGACAGGAGTTTTGGAAGCAATTGGGGAACCTGGGAGTATTGGGCATCACAGCTCCTGGTAAGTATCCTTTTCCTCAAATAGAGCTTTTCTTGTATGACATTTAGCATGATTTTTAGGCAGATCTTTCAGCCAGTTCATTCTGGTTTAATCCCTGATTCATCATTGCTGATAATTTGCAGTCCACCCCTGCAGCTATACTGAAGTGGAGTCTATATTTTAACAAGACAGAAGGGCATTGTGGTGTCTAACCACAGACTGCCACAAGGACAAACAAATTTGTTCGGAAAAGTGCAGCCAGAGTGCTCCTTGTATTTGTTAAGTGTCCTTGAGTAAAGTACATATCATAGCGACCCTATAAACAACAGATCTGAATCCTGTCCTTTCCTGTGCCTATCTTTCACTGACCCTCCACCCTTCCAAGCATGATACCCTTTTCCAAAGAATAGCCTTTCACCCCAGCAACAATAGCAAAGTTCAACAAGGCAGCAAACAACAAATACTGGAGAGTCTGTGGAGAGATTAGAACTCTTATTCACTGCTAGTGGAAATGTATAATGATGCAACCACTGTGGAAGGCAGTCTGGCACTTTCTCAAAAAATTGAAAGTAGAAATACCATTTAATCCAGCAATTCTGCTACTGGGAATATACCCTCAAGAAACCAGAGCCGTGGCTCAAACAGATGTATGCACACCATGTTTATTTTTTGCATTATTCACAAGAGCAAAGAGATGGACGTAAACCAAGTGCCCATCAACAAACAAATGGATAGAAGAACTATGGTACTTTGATACAGTGGAATATTATGCTGCATTAAAAAACAGTGAACTCAGAAAACACTACACAACATGGATAAGCCTGAAGGACATTATGCAGAATTAAATATCTCAATCACAAAGTGACAAATACTGCCTAATACCACTGTTATAAAAGAGGACTGACATAGGGTATTGGGGGGGAAACAGGAAAAAAGTGGATAGATAATGAACACTGCACTGGAACAAATGAGGGGAAGACTGAAAGGAATATGTTGGGCACTATATGTATGACAACAATCTGAATCAAGAGGTGTACTGCAAAGTGGACTTGGGAGGACAAAAGAAGGGGGGTGGTCGAAAATGTGCAACGGTGAATGAAAAAAACCCCGCAAAGAATAGCTTCTCCTAGCAACATGTCCAAAGTATGAGAGATGAAACTTTGCCATCTTTCCTCCAAGGAGCACTCCGATTGCACCTTTGCCAATACACATCTGTTTGTTCTTTTGGCAGTCTATGGGATATTCGATTGTTTCTACATTGTGTTGGATCACCTTTCTTGGGAATGGGAACAAATAAGGACTTTTTCCAATCCTTTGGCCAGATCCAGATAGCTGTCCTCTAAATTTCTTGTCATAGACTATTGAGCACATCAAGGGCTGCATTTATTAATTGAAAGAAGTCAGTTGGTATCCCGTTGATTCCTGGGGCCTTATTTTTTGCCAAAGCCTTCAATGCAGCTTCCATTTCCTCCTTCATTACCATTGGCTCCTGCTCAGATGGTACTTCCTGAAATTTTTCCATTTCCATCAGTTCTTTTTGGAACAGTGACTGTGTATTCCCTCTATCTTCTTTTGGTGTTTCCTGGGTCCTTTAACACATTCTTCCCTTTTTATTCTCCAATTACAGCTCTCTGCGCATTCCATTATAAAACCTGGCTTTGTCTTCTCTAGCTGCCCTTTGAAGACTTCTGTTCAACCCTGTTACTTCAACATGTTCTCCCTTTGTTTTGGCTTCTCAATGCTCTAGTACAATTTTCAGAGTCTCTTCTGACATCCATTTCATTTTTTTCTTTCTCCCCTGTCTTTGTAATGACCCTTTACTCTCTTCATGGATACTATCCTTGATATCATCCCACAACTCATCTAGCTTTCAGTCATTGGTGTTCAATACTTTAAATCTATTCTTGATGATTTTAAATTCAGATGGAATAGACTCAAGACCATATTTTGGTTCTCATGGACTTGTTTTCATTTTCTTCAGCCTCAATTTGACCTTGCACATGAGTAATAGGTCATCTGACCCACAGTCCTCCCGGGCCTAGTTTTGACTGGCAATATTTAGTTTCTCCTTCCACATATATAGTCAATCTGATTCCTATGCAGCCTATCAGGTGAGGTCATTGTGTAAAGTCAGCATTTGTGTCCTTTAAAAAATATATTTGCAGTGGACAAAATTCAATCATTCTATTTCTAGCCTCATTTCTGTCACCAAACTCATATTTTCCTGCACTATTCCTTCTTCATTGTTTCCAACTTTTGCATTCTCTTGGAGAAAGTGCAGCCAGAGTGCTCTTTGGAGTCAAAGATGACAAATCTCACATACTTTAGGCGTGTTGCTAGGAGGGGCTGCTCCTTGGAGAGGGTTGTGATACTCAGAAAGCCAGAGGGTCTGTGAAGGAGAGAAAGACCCTCAATTAAGTGGATTGGCACAATGATTGCTGCAGTGGGCTCTAAAGTGTCAGGAAGTGTGAGTATGCCACAGGATAGGACAGAGTTCATATCTGTTATTCATATGATTGCTGTGGGTCATACTCAACTTGATGGCACTTAACAACAACAACAATGGAATATTCAGTATTCTTTTTCTATACCACAACTCAAAGGCATCGATTCTTCTGTCGTTCACTGTCTATCTGTCAGATACATAGCAAGTAATTGAAAAGACCATGGGCTGGATCAAGCACATCTTGGTCTTCAGACTGACATCATTGCTCTTCAGTATTTTGGAAAAGTCCCTAACAGTGAACTTGCCCAAAGCAATACATCTCTCAATCTCTTGACTGCTTTTACCAAGGTTGTTGGGTATAGATCCAAGCAAGGTGAAATCATTAACAATTTCAAACCTTTCTTTATCAATCATGATATTGCCCACTGACCCAGTGGTAAGGACTTTTGTCTTCTTGATCTTAAGATGCAATCCATATTGAAAGCATTAGTCTTTGATTTTCTGCAACAAGTGCTTCAGATCCCACTCGCTTTCAACAAGCAAGGTTGTGTCGTCTGCATAACGCAGGTTATTGATGAGCCGTATCCGATCCTGATGCCACATTCTTCTTCATGGAGTCTGGCATCACAGTTATTTGCAAAGCATACAGATTGAATTGTATTTAAATGTCAGTTCAGCCCGAGGGCCTAGTGTTGTCTTTTATTTTGTAGGAACATTCTTCTAAGTTGTACTGCACTCTTCTGTCAAATTGCCATTCTGAGGTAATCTGGGTTTGCCGTGAAGCTGAACCTTGCGCCATTGGGAGGTCAAATGCTGTAACGGTTGCCCATGGCAGTATTTTCAGTGTTAGCCATAGTTTATTATGATCCACACAGCCTTTGAATAGTCAGTAAAACACAGATATTCTTCTGATATTCTCTGTTTTTAGCCAGGATCCATCTGACCTCAACAATGATATCCCTGGTGCCACAGCTTCTTCTAAACCCAGCTAGTACTTCTGGAAGTTCCCTTTTGTTTGCATGTGGTTGATATTAATGATGTTGTTCGATCATATCCATATTCTGTTGGATCACCTTTCTTGGGGATGAGGATAAATTTGGATCTCTTCCAGTCAGTTGGCCATGCAGCTGTCCTCCAAATTTCCTGGCATTGACTAGTGAGCAAGTCCAGGGTTGCATCTGCTAGTTGAAACATGTCAATCAGTATCTCATCTATTCTGGGGGCCTTATTTTTGCCAGTGTCTTCAGCACAGTTTGATTTTCTTCCATTGTTACCATTGGCTCTTGTTCATATGGTGCTTCCTGAAATTTTTCAGTGTCAACCAGTTCTTAATGATACATGGACTTTATTCCTTCAATTTTCTTTTAATGCTTCATAGGTCAAGATTTTGCCCATGGTGTCTTTCAGAATTGCAACTTGAGGCTTGAAATTGTTCTTCAGTTCTTTTAGCTTGAGAAACACTAAGCAGGTTCTTCCCTTTTTGTTCTCTGCCTCCAGCTCTTACCACATTTCTTGATCTCTAAACTCTGTACTATAATGGGTTTGGGGCAGTAGCACAAGAATCAGGTATGACCTTAAGAAGACTGACTGCCTTTGGTCTACAGCTTGGCTCTGGGGCTCATTTGGTGGTAGAGGGGAGAGGCCTAGAGCTGAGTCCACCCAGTGTCTTTGTGGGTCTTAAATACTTGCTTCCAGGGAATAAAGGTGGGGACTGGTGGGCCATAGTTAAGTTGATAATCTCTGAGCCAGAGACACAACCTTCCTTGCAATGCCCAGAATTACTGCCTTTATTACCAGTATCCTTATAAATCATAACAGGGAATATCTTCAGGTGAACATTTGCAAATGATGACTTTAGCAAGTCATTCTGCAATACTGCATGTGATACATATTGTTGTTGTTATGTGCCGTCAAGTCGCTTGTGACTCATAGCGACCCTATGTACAACAGCCCTAAACTCCGCTCTGTCCTGTGCCAATCGCACCGTCTCTGCTACACCCATCCCAATTACCCCAGTCACTGAATCAGTCCACCTCATAGAGGGCCTTC